TTTCATGTCAGAAATGCAGTCAGAAGGTTTTCAAATTCCCTGCTTAGGGGCGACTGCAATTAGAATAACCGGTAAATTCATTTTTGGTAGAGCTTTCCCTCCAGTTTGTGGTGTGCATCTTGATATTTAACGACGAATGAATGAAATTCTCCGCCGCTGAGGGTTTCAGAAATACGCTCGGAAGGTTTAACAGTTCCTGTGAAAGACCAACCGTAAAAAGAAAATTGAGCTTAAAATTAATTTTGTATATCTTTAGATGTTGGATTGGGCTGGATTCAAACCAATAACCTTCTGCATCGTGCCACGTATTTCTAACTATTCAATCTTAAGTACAAGATCTCGAAAAATTTGCATTCTTTTCGAAACTTATTTTCCTTTCCTTTGAAATTTCACCGAAAAACGTGGAACACATGGCTTACCGGGACATACTCGAGATATTTCATACGTTTACATTAAGACCAGAAAGTTTTCTGATATTGTTTTTTTTTGATATTTGCGATTTGGTTTCACATGAATTCATTTCAACGGGGCAGACAGACAACAAAAAGTATTGTTTAAGCGATTTGAGGCGTTTAAGCGAAAACATTCGTCGTAAACGGCCGGAATTGTGGGCCAACAATTTCCGGCAACTTTCTTGACGATAATGCACCGTCGCACCGAGCTTAAGTTGTGAGCCCAAAAGCTCGTTCAATACCATCGAACAACGAACTCATGCGACTTTTTTTTTGTTTCCCAAACTCAAGCTATTATTCCGAGGAACCCGCCTCGACTCGATTAAGGTCGTAAAGGAAAATTCTCAGAAGGAACTGAGGTCGACTGATTTCAACAGCTGCTGCAAACAAAGCGGTTGACAGATCGCGCTCATTTTAGGCATAGTGATTAGAGACGTTAGCAAAACAAAAATATTTAACGCGGACAGTTTCAATGAGAATTTCCTGAAACTTACTGGTCTTAGAGTATGTTCGTATATTTGACCTTGAGCATTTATCTGAACTTTGGAATACTTTGAGCTTTGATTATCACAACATTTCGATATACTAACTTAAGAACTCCGCGATAAGATATATATTGAGATAAAATTGTGAAAATTTGTCCATGACTAACGGTAAAGAAGAATTTTTCGTCTTTAAAGACAAGTTTTTCAAATTCGCTTTTCGAATCTGTTTCTGTCTCATCTACCTGTGTACGTACATACATACATAGGTTAAACGACAATGAGATTTGAACTGATCATCTGGTGAGACTACTTCTTGGGTTCGGTTCCAATTAGTTTAAAAATTAAACCTTCTAACCACTAGTTTCTTCTTTCTTTAAAGAATAAAAATTCCATATCTTTGGGATTTTAAAGTCGAGTTGAATAATTTTTGTCGGCATTTTGAAGTGTGGAAAATAAGGCGTATCATAAAAGTTGCGTTATATAAAGATAAAATTACTAGGCTGACAGTGCTGACAGCAAGATCAGCGGTATGTAAGGGTTGAGCGAGGCATTTTTGCGTAAAATGAGTTAGCAAATCTCAGAGAGTGTGAATAGGTTTTTATATTTACAAAAAAAAATTTTATGCTCTTATATAAGATAAGATTAAGTTGCCAAAATACCTGCACATTGAGTAATTTATTTATGAACGAAAAATAAACAAACGAAAATTTAACAAAGATAAATAAGTACGTACTCGATTTTTCGGCAGAGCTCCTTCCCTACTTTATGGTTTTTCGTTTGGATGTTTTTCCAACAAAATGGGCAGACCTACAGTTTATACTAAGCCGCCTCCAAATGGCTGATGGTTTTTTTTCACGAGCGTCCTTTATTTCACGTCCGAAATACTTTCGGAGGGTCTGACATTCCCTGATGAGGGGCGACCGGAATTAGAAAATTTAACTTATTTTTTTATTTAAATTAATTTTCCATAACTTTTGGATGTTGGTGGCACCAGGATTTGAACCCAAGCCTTCCGAATGGCAGTACGCCCACAAAACAAAAGTCCGCCGGTGTTACGGTCGATCACACAATAAATCCATTGTGTTGAAACCACATATTATCCAAGTCACGTTCCTCAATTTCAGGCCAAAAAAAGTCGGTTATCATGCGGCTAAAAAGCTTCGCATTGAAAGTGAAAGTCTCGCTGTCGTTGTGTTCAAGGAAGTAAGGTCCAATTGCCACCTTATTGTTATTTAAATTGGCTATTCGAACATTGCCTTAGTCGAGTAATGGCCAGACTTTGCTATCATTATTGGTTGGAATTTCGGTTTCACCATCTCCGGGCGTTACATTACCATCAGCATTCAGAAGGACGAACACTAAATATGCCCTGCATATCAGTCACTAGACGTCCTCTATGTGTGTCATAAGTGTTTGCCCCGGTCTTGGAACCTTCTGTAAATCGCCGCATTTTTTCATAAAATTTTCGAGCATTATCCCTGTCGACTAGTTTTTCAAGCTCTTGATGCTCACTCATTTGGGTCTCTTTCTTTTTTATTTGCAAATGCGTCTTGTTTCCTTCTTCAGCTCTCGGTAACTATCCCATCCCTCAGATGTTGTGAGCGATCGCCAGATTGTTGGGTAGGAGGTGATTATGAAAATAAAAAATTTTATCTCTTGCGTAAGAATTTTTTAAGGCAAAACTTATTGTGTTTGCTTGGTTTTTGACAGTTATTTAGATACATTTTTTATATTTTCTAGTTTACACATAATAGTACCGACTTCGCATTATCGTGTCTTTTGATGTCCGATAACTATACTATTATCGCACTTATGCACTTAATTGAAAAAAAAAAAAACAATAATATTATTGAGAGCAATTGAAGTGACTTTGGGCTTTCCATGGATCACATGTTGCAATTATGTTGACCGTTGTTTGATTTTCAAAGGCTTCACTCTAGATAGAGCAATCGAAGTAAGATTAGTTTATTGATGGATTTTCCAATAAGAGTTATTATTTTGAGATTTAAACAAACTCTTGTCCAGATCAATACCATCCATTACTAGGCGTAGCTATCATTATCAATTCATTCACAGTAACTGTAGCTCGTGCCTGATTTTCGAAAAAGTAAGTTCCAAAGTCCTAGCCGGTCCATAAACCATACCAAACAGTTACACGTTGAGGATAGAGACTCCTTTTAAAAATAAATCTTGGGTTTTCTGAGCCACAGATGCGACAGGTTTTATCTATTTATTCTCTGAACTAAGAACTTGGTGTCATCCGGCATATTTCGGTTATGTCTTGCATGTAGCTTCGGCTTTTGCTTTCATATCCGAACAGCTTAAAAATTATTTTAAAACACCGGACTTATTGAGAGACCCTCGTGTTCACACTCTTTCAACCAGTGGCAGATAATAAGAGATAAATAAGAGCCAAAGAGAAAAATATAATATAAATTAAAAGAAAGATAAAAATCAACCCTGCGTATGAGATAGAAATATGAAAATAATAAATAATAATGGAAAGTATTTAAATAGTATAAATGTATTTAAAAATTTACAAAATATTATAATAATCGCATTATTAAATATGGTATACTTTTAAGTAATTTTTTAAAGTTTTTTGTAATGAAAAAATTACCAAAATAGAATTAAATTAATTAAATTAGTTAGTCGCGTCTAATAAATATTTGCTGATTTTTCTCGTGTTCATTTTCTTATTAAAAAATTTAATTATTATAAAATTTGTCACAATAAAATTTTTCATTTTTTAGTTACCAAGAAAATAAATTTTTAAACAAAAAATATATATTTGCAGATTTAAAATGCATTTAATAACAAAAGTAAATAAACAGAGCGCACATGATATAATAATAATAATATGTATGTATGTACTTATTTACATACAGTAGATGCACATGCAAATAAATAATATTGTATGTAAGTATGTACATACATATGTATGTCTATATGTATTGCAGAGAAAAAAGTAAAAAATATTTAAATAACTACGAGAGCAATACAAAAATTTTCACATCAACCAAAAAGTGCGATCTGTCGAAATTTCAAAAATCGCGCAAAGTACACTAACATGCAAATAGCGTGCACATGCATACATGCATACATACATACGTGTGAAGGTATACAAGTAAGCAGAGCGTGCGCGTAAATTTTTACTTTTTTTTTTAAGGAAAAAAGCTTACTAAATTGACAAAATCACTATAGCGAGCCTAATAGATAGAAACAAACATAAATACATACATACATAAATGCATATTGACAACAGCCACAATAAATATATATACAACAATTGACGAAAATCACACCTTTTTCTGAAATTCACAAGCAATTGCTGTTACATTATTATATATCTGTGTTTGTATATGTATGTATGTATGTATATGCATATTTTATGTTAAAAATTACTAAAGTAATAGTACTAAATCACATAAAGATAAATTTTTTTTTTTTGCTATTAACCCATAGACTGCCACACACAAGCAAATACATAGACATATACACATCCACCGTCATGATCACTCACACACACATACAAACAGGTGTATTTTAAGTATTATTCTTTTATTTTTTATTTATATACATTTATTTGCATGTGTGTATACATATGTATGTATGTGTTTAACTACCCACTAAACCAAAGCAAAAGCACAAATTGCACAGTGTAACACATTGTCTGCCCGCGCTGATGGTTCTTTGTGGGCAAAATACTTTTTGTTCCCCAAGTCGTCACTTAAAACACAGCGGCTCAATGGGAATTGGATTTAGTCGTTAACGAGCGGCCAACAAGATCATATCAAATTCGGTGATTCAGTGTTTTTTGGTTAACTCACAGCTGCTCGCTCTCTTACTTGAACTTATATACATGCAAACACACAAAAAAAATTTAAAGTAAATATATCTTTGTTAGTGTAAAATATAAAACAGCGCGAGTGCATAGCTATAAATATATGAATATATTTACATAGTTAGTGAAATAATTAAGCGATCATTGAGTGTTTAATAAGTAGAGTAAAAAGGAAAAAGGCAACAAAATTGTTAATTTATTAAAAAAAAATATTTTTTTGTAAAAAATTTTCGCAAAAATTTAGGAAAAAATAAAATTAATCGTTTGGAAAGTTTGAAAAATTTTTTAAGTGCATTAAACAACCATAAACAGCATCACCAAATCCACAACAAAACATAAATAAAATTTTAAAAAAGGTAATTAAACATATTCAAGATGAGTTAGTGCAAAAAAAAAAATAAATAAAACAATGAAAATTAAAAAAAAAAGTAAATTTTATTCAAATAAAAAAAAAATAAAACTAGTTAAATTTTCTAATCACGGTCGCTCCACGGCAGGGAATATCAACCCCCCCGAGTGTATTTCTGACATGAAGCTCCTCATAAAAAACCAGCAGCCGTTCGGGGGTGGCTTAGTACAATCTGTAGGTCCCTCCATTTGTTGGCAAAACATCAAAACGCAAAAAACCACAGATTAGAGGAGGAGCTCGGCCGTAAGATAGTTTCAGCGGCTACAGAGCGCCAATTATTATTATTAAATTAAATTATTATTAAATGAAACTATATAAATATATAAAAGGATTTAACGGAGCATATAACCAAATGAAATAAAATTATATAAAATAAAATATATAAAAATATTTAAATAAATAAAAAAATTAACGAAAAATAAAACCTTATAAAATAAAACAAATAAATATAAAAATAAAAAAAATTAAATTAAGTTAAATTAAATATTTAATTAAATAAGTTTCTAAATATCAGGTGTACAACTTTCAATTCTTCGAAGAATTGGAAAAATGGATTGCTTCATGAATAGCGTCAAAAGAGGCTTCCTTTTTTCGAGCCGAGATCCGAAAATTGGCGGAAAGATGGAAAAAAGGTGTCGCTAGCGAAGGAAAATACCTTGAATGATATATCTGTAAGCACTTTTTCGCAATAAAGCTTTTAATTTTGGAAAAAAACGGCGGAAGCAAAGTTGTACACCTGATAGTTGAAATAAACCAGAAAATTTAATTAAAATAAAAGAATAAACTTATTAGCATTACACCAAAAAATAATAATTTAACTTAGTAAGACATAAAAGGAAGTAAAATAAAATAATAAATAAATAAAACAATAAAAACCTAAAGTAAATGAAAGGAAACTAAAACAAAATTAAATAAAAAATAAATAAAATTAGTTAAAAATAAATATAAATAAATATAAAAATAATGCAAAAGAAATAAGTTTCATTAAATCAAATTAAGCAAAATATTTTAAAATTAATCCATAAACTAAATAAATTAAAATAAATTATCAAACTAATAATTAAATTCCATTAAGTTCAACTAAAGTAAATAAAATAATATTAACAAAGTAAATCAAAAAAAAAATTTCAATTAAAATATCAAAATAATATTAATTATAGATGTCAAATTAAAATAAAATAAAATAATGTTTTTTAAAATTAAATAAGGTAAAAGGTGTTTTTTGCGTCATATGGTTTTCAGAATGAAATAAACGCATATAATTTAATGTTATGCCGATGAATTTAGCTTCATTGAAATTGTGCCTTAAAATTGATTTAGGGCTTTTTTGAAAAAATTGACTCCATATGTCAGCATTGATGCGTCGAATATTCTCTTCTCTCTCCTCGGGCTTATCGGCGAAGCCATGCGTCTTCATATAACCCCACGAAAAATAGTAAAGCGGTGTTAAATTTGGGTAACTACGTCATCTCGCCCACTCGCTCACTGAAAGTTTCCTTCAATAAATTAATTGTTTCGTTGGTTGTATGGCCTATAACGTACGTGCTCTTCCACATCAACATCCTCCAACTCAGACACAAAAATATCTTTAATCACGGCTTTACAGCGCTCAACATTGACTGCGAACCGGTGTCGGAATCGGTGGCCATCTCATCTTGTTGGGCCCATTCATGGTCGTACGGCCACAACAATTGGATGGGCGCAACTGAAGGTTTTGCACGCTATGGCGGATGGGCTCATTCGGGTCTTCCTCGAAACTCTGCTCCACAGCAGCAATGGCGTGCACATCCGATTTTCGGAAAAGATATTGCCTCAAATAAAAATGAAATATAATAAAATCAAAATAAAGCGTAACAAAATAATTTTGTTAGTTAAAAAAAAAATTAATTAAATTAAAAATAAAAATTAAAATAAAAATAAAAATAAAAATAAAAGTAAAAATAAAAATAAAAATAAAAATAAAAATAAAGTATAAAAAATATAATAAGAAATATTAATTAAAATGATAAATAAAATTATGCAATAAATAAAAAAATAAAATAAGGAAGGTAACAATAAGTAAATTTCATATAAAAAATTAAGTAAAATAGCTCAAATGAAAAAGAAAATAATTTAAATAAAATAGAATATACTAAAATAAAATTACAAAATAAAATTAAAAACATGAAAAGCAAAAATGAAAAATTCAAAATAAAAAAAAAATTAAGTGAATTAAAATAAATAAAAAATTTTTAACCCAAAATAATTAAATTTCATTTATTTATTTATTATAATCTTACAAAAAATATATATTAATATGTTTTTCTAATGCAATAAAATGTATTGGAAAATTTTTAGATAAGCTGCTGCAATCAAAACCATAATAAAATGTTCAGAGCTGCAACGCAAAAACATCAGCTTATTATTGGCTGCAATTAAAATTGGTATTTCAGTGTATTAATTCCGCGCCAACTGCACAGCGCGCGCTGTTGTCAGTAGCTGCTAGGCAATATTAGCTCTCAGCATTGTTATGTACATATGTATGTATATGTAATCGTATTTACTAGCACAGTTACATACAGATTTGCGAGTACGAATACGAGTACTTACCAACCAACTAACGGCCTTCGAAGGTTTCAAGTTGTAAAATTTACAATTTCCAAATGAGTAGAAAAAGGAATTTGTGGATTTTGGTTTGATCAAAAAAAAAATCATTTTTTCATTGAAAATAATGAAATAAATGAATAAAAGAAAAGTTCAAAATTTGTGTATTTACTTTTATTTATTTTGATTGTTTTTGTTTTGTATTTTTTTTTTTTTTTTTTTGATGCATTTTTTTCGGTTTAGCACGTTTTTCATTTTAAAATTTAATAATGCTTAGCAATAACAAGCGCACAAGCCTGGTGAAAATTCTATTGAAAATTTAAATTAACTTTATTATTTGAATGTTTAAACTCTTGCAATGCATGTAAATAAAGAGATTTGCATCATACTCGTTCCACCGCATTGCCTTTGCAATTGGGTCTGTCTGTGTTGGTGTGCCAAATATTGTATATATTCAATCACAGATGTCACCAGTTAGAACTGGAGCAAATTATTGTTTATGCGAATATGAAACTGTGGAAAATAATAGGAAATACCAGCATAGCGCATGGACTAAATATTTTTTTATGTATATATGTATATGTATATGTAGGAGTATATATTATATATATATTTAGATGTTTAATGATAATAATGATATATGAATTTGCTTACGAAGATGTAATGGGCGTTAAAGCGGGAGCTTATTTACCATTTACACTACCATCATCACCTTAAATTCGGTTTTGGCACGGCCTGGTTGGTTTTTGTATGCCAATTGATTGCGCGACCGCGAGTGTCACCTTCGAACAACTCTTCAGTGGTGCCGTGTGCTATATTATTAGATATCAGTTCTTGCAATAAGAGCTTGGAAAGAGCAGAATATCTATTGAAATTAATGTATAGTTCATCCTCATCCCTCCTTTTTCGCGGAATCAGTGACTTTTCGTTTGGAATGAACTTTTCTGACGGCATAACAGTCTTGCAAGATTGAACTGCTACGCTACTCACAGTTCAACAATAGTCAGACTTTGGAGCTCGTCTTGAAGGCATGTAGGCATGTTGATCTTTCCAATCGATCATTCATCATTGGACGGCACAAACCTAACATTTCCCTGCAATATCGTTGTGGTTTGCGGTTTTTGAGTAAACTTTTTGAGGCGATAGTCGCCAATTCGTTATAAACCCACTTCTATTCCGCTTTAAGAATTAATTCATCCTCTTCATTTCATCAAATATTTCCTCTGCAAAATAGGTCTCCTGAGTTTTTTTCCTACTTGGACTTACTTGTCAGCACGCCTGCGAGCTAAACAAATTTCTTATCGCCTCTTAATGGCGACCTCTGCGGTTGACAATCCACGTTTGCATTTTGCCTAACTATGAATGGAGTCATCACAACGTAGTTAGTCGATAATACGAAGAGCAGTCAGTGGAGGCAACAAAGATCTTCTTTATATGTTCCACTTTCTCCACTGGTATATAATAATACAACCTATCCTAAATAATGGCTGCGTTACCTTTAATTCAATGCCTATAAAACTGGTATAACCTCTGAGAAAGGAAACTGGTGTCATACTGTATAGGTATTTACTCCTTTGGATTAGGTTCTGACCAAATTATATTTGTCATACCATGGAGAACGTGCTTTATATAGTACTCTACACCATTGAGGGAATCAAGTAGAAAACTTGTCCTCATGAACGGATGTCGTACTTTTCCCAAAAAAAAGTACAAAATTATTGCGTGGACTGTTTTACTTAGCGATAGCTAAGATGATATTGTTATATGGTGCCTTGATATGCTAAACCGCTGACAACAAAACTTCGTTTAGGAAACTATTGGAGCCATTACAGCGGCTCGGTGGTACCAAACGACACCACAGAAGAGCAATCCAGCAAAATTCGCCATGAGATTGATGGCCTTGGTTGAATGTGGACAAAATGTAGGACAAAATATACTAGATCCTCCCACGTTTCATCTGGACAATAGTTTTATAAGCTGAACTTTAGTAAAGCGACTGGCACAAGATCAATCAAAAAAGTCTGATGGTGTGGAGTCAAAGTACTGCAGTACTTTTAATGCCTACGCCTCCGCTATAGAAAAAACTGCAGAGATAGCTAGTGATACAGAAAACTGTATGAAAATTCTCACATTATGAAATTAGCAAATGTCCTTAGAAGGAGGGTAGCAGTAGACAGGGCGAACGGAGATAAAGAACTGAATATATACAAGATTTAAATGGAAGACACTAGCTACATACAAAATCTCCAATATCATGTCACTCAAAACCTACCTGACTGTAATATGACGTACCACAACCTACTGGTATACGATGTGAACTGAAAAAGCATTTGCAGCAGTGTCACATGGGAGGAGGTACAGGGA